AAAAAAAAAAAAAAAAAAAAAAAAAAAAAAAAAAAAAAATGGATATAAAGAAAGAGACGAAATCTACAACCTTGCTATTCAAAGTGCAGTCCACAAATATGCACCTGGGAGATCACCAGGTACATTGCTAGAAATGCAGAATCTTGGGCTGGCCCGTTACTCAGTTGGTTAGAACACAGTGTTGTAACATCAAGGTTAAGGGTTCAGGTCCCTGAACCAGCCTAGCTGCCAAAAAGAAAAAAAGAAATGCAGAATCTAGTGCCCCATTCTACACCCACAGAATCAAAATAAGCATTTTAGCAAGTCTCCCAAGTGATCCTTACATACTTTGAAGTTTGAGAAGCTCATCTAGAGCAGTGTTTTCTAAACTGCAGGTCTCAACCCATCAATGGGTTATAAAATTAACTTAGAATACAACTGAAAATACCAGAGCACATCACACATAGTAAGTTTTTTGTGTATGTATGGGTTATGTATTTCTTAGTATGGACTGAAATCTTTATTTATTTATTTATTTTTGTCTTTTTGTCTTTTTTCGTGACCGGCAACGGATCGCAACCCTCAGTGTCGCGCCCGTACCGGACTGGGACCGGCAACGGGATCGCAACCCTCGGTGTTGCCCCCGCTCCTCGCTCAGCCAGTGAGCAGCTGGTCTGTATGTGGGATCCGAACCCTCGGTGGGAGTGCCGCCGCGCTTCCCAAGCGCGCACTGTAGCAGTGCGCCACCTGGCCGGCCTGAAATCTTTATTTTAAAAAAATTTTTATTATTTACTTTTTGGCAGCTGGCAAGTATGGGGATCTGAACCCTTAACCTTGGCGTTACAACACCATGCTCTATAAATTTAAAAAACACTTTAGTAGTAACCTCTTCTTTGGATTAAGAGGACACAAGAAAACCATATGCACTGAAAAGATTTCATCTGTTAGTTTTTCAAAATTTTGACAGTGAACCACACTAAGAAATACATATGAACTAGTAACACATACATGTGTGCAATATACATATAAATTTTAAAAAATTTCCCAAAACAATACCCTTACCCAACAGTATACCCTGGTATTTTTTGTTTTTTTGTTTGTTTAAATGCTGCTTGCAACCCACTGACCCATTAAATTGATTCCACGACTCTTTTATATGTCGCTTCTCAAAGTTTGAGAAACAATGATCTTTAACATGCTGTTTGCCCTTAGCTGAGAGGTAGTTTGGAAGGACTGGAAAAGAGAAGGTTAAGAATAGCTATTACGTATGGTAAATACGCTAAGGAAATGATGAAATAAAGATAGACTGACAGCTACACAAAGATCAAACTAGTGTTGGACTGCATCAATTGTCAGCTTTTTGTCTCTGAAGGTACAAAAGAGGAAACAGCAAACAGGACTAATAAAGGTACCAAGTTGGTGAAGAAGAACCACGGGAGTTGAGAGATAGACATGAAGGAAACACGGCTAGTACCAGAACTAGGGCACCGGTAATTAACCTGCTTCAGACGAGGAAGTGAGGCTAGTCCAGGATGCCCGACTCAGAAAGGCAAGTGGCTGAATAATACATTCTATGTTTTAGTTCTATGCTCGGAGGCAGCCTACGTTAGGGGCAGGGAGAAGAGGTAACCCGGCCACGAGGAACAGGAAGCACAGCTTATCCCGAGAATCCGAGAGAAAGAGGAGGCAAGCTGCTACTAGGCATTTTCTATAGCCGCGGGGGCTCGAATATAATTAGATCTCGGACAAAAGCAACCCCCTTCTGGGTCAAGGCACAGTCCTAGAGAGAAAGCAGGGACAGCAGAAACCCACGGTCGTCAGGAGGGGCCAGCCCCCAGCTCCCAACGCCCTCCCTGGTCCCCCTATTTCCCATCACCCCTCGCGCGGAGCCCTGCGGCTGTCAGCGCCCTCCAGGCTCGGGAAAGGCGTGGTTTTCCTTCTCCACTTCTCTCGTAAGGCACAACGGCCAGCCCAGTACCATATGCGTCTCGGCAAGGCTGGAGATGCTCCCACCTTCACTTTAATTAGCATCTTCTTCCCTGCTTGCGGCTGCACACGGATAAATTGCGGCTTGTACCGCTGCGGTCGCTGCTGCTGCTCCCCAGCACTCTGCCCGTGGGAGTCACTTCTGTTTCCGGGTCACTGTCTGGCTCCACCCCCCCTTCTTTCCACGGGATTCCCGAAAGGCTTAGGAAGGCTCCCGCATTTCGTTTCAGTGGCGTCGTAAATAAAAAGAAGCGGGCAGCTTAGTTACAGCAGAGATGACGCCTCCGCGATTCTGAGAGTCCCTAGCGAGCCAGGGCTAGCGGAAAGCGGGGGCGGAACGATTACCTCTCCCATCATGCCGGGGGGCAGCTTCGTCCGTTCCACCCTGGGAATTGTAGTCTTCCGCCCCTCGGATCCAACGGCAACCTCGGCGTGTGAACTCTGTTACCCAGGAGGCCTCGCATGGCCGAAGGTACAATTCCTCGGTTAGTCGTTCTCGCCAGCAATTAGCGGAACCTACTGACTTGGCGCACAAGGCTCGGCGGGGCTGCACGAAACTAGTTGCTAAGCAAGGGGAACTTTGGTCGACTGCCACCTGGGCCGAGGCAACAGGAAGTGAGTACCTATATTCCGGAAATTGGTTATGAGGCCCTCCCCTCCCTCCTTTCGCCCACCTAAGTCAGCTACTTACCTCAGATTGTTCTTTTCAGGGGCAGAAGGAAGAGTTAGCGGGGTAAGATATGCACCTTCAGGGTCACTCACAACAACTTACCAGCTCTTCTCCCCAAGAAACAGTACCCGGGATGGAGACACCGTGGATAATCGCAACCACGCGACAGATCGGGGCTACAGGCTTCAGGGACCACATCACGACCTATTCCCGACCTTAGACAACTTAAGCGAGGAGTGAAATGAATACTGCTGCCAGTCCTAACAGGGCATTAAGGCCAAAGGTGAGATTGATTCAGGTTCCTCCTGACTTTTTCTACCTTCTAGCCCTCAGATTCGTCACTACCTCGAGGCCCCCACCATGCCTCATATCGACAACGATGTGAAACTGGACTTCAATGATGTCCTGCTGAGACCCAAACGCAGCACCCTTAAGTCTCGAAGTGAGGTGAGCCAGCTTCTTTACTTACTCTTTCTTAACCCCAAGCTCCTGGTGGGCTAGGACCAAGAAAGATGCCTGGTCATTGTCCTAATGCGATACATGTTTTTTTGGGTAAATGAAATGCTGTTTCCTGTTTATATCTGCAGGTGGATCTCACAAGATCCTTTTCATTTCGGAACTCAAAGCAGGTGTACACTGGGGTCCCCATCATTGCCGCCAATATGGATACTGTGGGCACCTTTGAGATGGCCAAGGTTCTCTGTAAGGTAGGACTTCCTTTCTACCCCTTCCCCAGTGGTGTCCAGTTAGTCCAGATGATTTGCATCCCCACTCCCGTCCCTAGTCAGCTCTCTGGCAGTTAGCAGTCAGGATGCCCTGATTTACTGTTTCTTCCAGTACAAAGGCTCCTTTATCTGATAAGTTCAAAAGGTTATCTGAATTAGATTGAAAGCAGAGTTTTGCTCTATTTTTCTGATATATGAACAGAACTTTCCCTTTTCCTGTCTGGCAGTTTATACACCTTGCCAACTTTTACCAGCATCCAGGTCACTCCCTCCCAATCACATGCATCCCTCCAGTTATACCATTGTTCACAACACTAAGCATTCACTGTTTAAGTCCAGAAATTAAATACAGTTTGAGCACTCAAAATTTCCTAACTAGATGATCCTGGAGAAAAGTAGCTTATTTTCTTTTATGGCTGCTATTTTTTTTTTAACTTCCTCTTCTTTAAGTCCTAGGTTCCTGGGAGTTTCTGGGATGTGCCCCAAATGGAATGTGTTTTTTTTACATACAGGTTGTTCACTTTGAAAATGAAAGATGCTGCTCCTGTCAGTAATATGACCTGCTTCTGTACTTGTAGCTGAGAAGGTAGATAGTTACGTGGTCACTTTGAGAACTTACACACTCGCCTGGTTAATCCATGTAGCCCTGGTTAATGGATTCTGCTCCTGTTTGTGGCTCTGTTAGCATTCCTGCTTAGGAATGCTGCTGGTGCCATTGTTTGCCTGCCTTGACCAGTAGCATTGGGGGAAATGGTCAATCTGACTGCAGAGTTAATAGACATGCTGTATGTAATACATGAACCTTGTTGGGGACTATCTTGATGCTTTATGTTGAGAATGGCTTTCAGTATTGCTGATGAGTACTAAAAAAATCTGATTTTAGAGATGGAGCCAGGTCTCATAATAATAATAAAAAGATTGGATGCAAATAAGCATCTTTTTTCTAGGTTTGATATGTGTGCAATCAGATGTGCTTGTCATGCCACACTGTGCCAATATATCTTCAAGGTCTGCTGACCTCCTAGAGTGATTTTTCTTTATCAGCATGGTGATGGTGGAGTGTTGCTGAGAAAGCAGAATTCAATACCAGCTTTAGATAGTGTTGATGATGAACGCTGAGTGAGTACAGAATTTCTTTGGGCTTCTTGTCAGTTGCAAGGTTTGTGCTGTCCCAGCGAACTGCTGTCTCTTGTCTGTTTGTATGTCCTGTTTGTATGTCGGCACTTTTAATGCACAAACAACAGTATTCACAGTGCCCTTTAAAGGCCTTTCTCAAAGTATTGGGATACTGTTTGGAATTTATTGAAGTAGAGAATATGAGCCTGATGAGTCATTATATTCCTGAGCTTGGTTGACTAAAATAGACTGAAAGAAATATACTTTTTAGCTTGGTCCATGTCCCCAACAAGAAAACTTGTTCTTTATTCCAGTAGAGATGGGAAAAGGACAGGGTTATTGGCTTATTGGCTCCATTAACCTTAAGGCCTTACCTTTTGTGGGCATCTAGACCCACTGAATTACTGCTAGTAAATGAGCCAGAAGATACCAAAAATAGATTAGTACTAGGTTACCTTAGGAGGAGGGGCTGAGTCAGTGCAAGCACGGGCTCCATCCAGCCTCTTCATGTTTCTTCCATGTCTGTTGCTTGTCCCACTGCACCAACAGCTTGTCACCAACAGCTTGTCCTTATCACCTTTTAAGTCAGAGGCAGTGTATATGCTGGCAGGTGAAATGCCATCTAGATTACTCAGTAGTTTGGTGGGAGTATTTAACAAGTACTAGCTTATGGTTAAAAAGCTCTACTGGGATTTTTAGGGAAAATAATGGTTGTACTCAAATCCCACCTCAACTACTGACTTCTTCAAGTTGCTTTCCTTCCAAACTTCAGTCATGTTCTCTCTCAGAAAGAATAGTATAGGGCCGGCCCGGTGGCGCACTCGGTAGAGTGCTGTGCTTGGGAGTGCGGTGGCGCTCCCGCTGAGGGTTCGGATCCCATATAGAGACCGGTCCGCTCACTGGTTGAGCGTGGTGCAGGCGTGACACCGAGGGTTGCGATCCCGTTGCCGGTCGCGGTACGGGCGCGACACCGAGGGTTGCGATCCCGTTACCGATCACGAAAAAAAAAAAAGAATAGTATAAAGGTCTATTTCTAGAAAAAGAGACCCTAACAAAGCTTTCTTTTTGATAGTTCTCTTTCTTCTCCCCAGTTCTCCCTCTTCACTGCTGTCCATAAGCACTACAGCCTCGATCAGTGGCAAGAGTTTGCTGGCCAGAATCCTGACTGTCTTGAGGTAACACTGGCCTACCCTGCTCCCTTCCTTATCCCAGTTTTTCAGGAACCTTTTTTTTTTTTTTTTTTTAAAGATGACCGGTAAGGGGATCTTAATCCTTGACTTGGTGTTGTCAGCACCATGCTCACCCAGTGAGCTAACTGGCTATCCCTATATAGGGATCCGAACCTGTGGCCTTGGTGTTACCAGCACCACACTCTCCCAAGTGAGCCACGGGCTAGCCCTAGGACCCTTTTTTTTTTTTTTGGCTTCCTGAGACCAACCCTCACCCCCGACCCCTTTTAGCTGCTCACCAGGTCATCTCTGATGTAATGCCACAGGCAGGTCTAATGCTTCCCATGCCAATGGCCCTGTTTCTTTCACAGCATCTGGCTGCCAGCTCAGGCACAGGCTCTTCTGACTTTGAGCAGCTGGAACAGATCCTGGAAGCTATTCCCCAGGTGAAATATATATGCCTGGATGTGGCAAATGGTTACTCTGAACACTTTGTTGAATTTGTAAAGGATGTGCGGAAGCACTTCCCCCAGCACACCATTATGGTATGTTCTGTTATTCTGTAGTTGGTACATTCCTCTCCTCCTTCCACTTGTTCCTGCTACTCCATTTTGTTACATCAGTTCATTTCTTTTCTGCTGCATTCTGATGTTCCCAGTCCACTTAATCATGTTACTGTGTGATTATCCATGGTTCCAAGTTTAAAATGTCTGTTTATTGGTCAGTGCAATATCTCTGACTCTTGATTCATAGTCTTTATAAATCCAGTGTCCCTGACATCACTCATCAAACCAGGATGGAACATTTATGTATTTTACATACCTGTGGTGCATTGTACATTTGCCCACTGAAATGGATACATACTATAGTCATGTAAAAGGAGTCAGACAAAACAATGTTTTATTTTTTCACAAGCTTAGGGGAGTAATGATAAGGCCTCATTTTATTCACAGCGTGCAGGGGTATCTGTACTGTTCATTAAAAACAAATATAGCTGGATAGATGAGTATTGAGCCTACATTACCATGTCTTCCTCCTTTCCCTGAAGCCAGAGAGGTTCTGTAACAGAACGGCTTAAGGACAGGATAGGTGTGGTTTTTTTCATGGGGAAGGGGAGATAAATCTACTCTAAATCAGATCTGAGTTTGGTCCAGTAGTTCCCTTTGTCTCATTGAATGTTTTTTTTCATGCCACCTGATGTCTCCGTGTTGACTGCAGCACCTTGTTCCCTAAGGCAGTAAAGTGCATCCTGGACCTCAGCTTTACCCTAGTTCAACAGTGACACTGGCTACTCACCCCTGTAACTCAGCATGGTGGGGAGGTGGGGAATGGATGGGTAGCAGGGTCCTTTGAAATGGCTAGTGTAGAAGCCCTCGCAGGACCCAGTAGAGGGGACCAAGGTACCCTTTGAAATAACATTGTAAGGTCATGACCCAGCCATACTGTATGTGAGAGCACACAATCTTCCCTCCATTTCTGACCCTAGGGATGCTCCATTTTGATTATTTTGTCTTAGGCAGGGAATGTAGTAACAGGAGAGATGGTGGAAGAGCTAATCCTCTCTGGGGCTGATATCATCAAAGTAGGAATTGGGCCAGGTAAGGTGGTTCATTGGGGCCAGTGGCTACCCCTTCGGTGGCAAACACCTGTGGAGCACTTCACTTTCACACTTGTCATGTTCTTCCCAGGCTCTGTGTGCACCACCCGGAAGAAAACTGGAGTGGGGTATCCACAGCTCAGTGCAGTGATGGAGTGTGCAGATGCTGCTCATGGCCTCAAAGGGCACATCATTTCAGTAAGGCCCAAGGCACAATAGGGTATGCGGCTGCCAAATAGCTGGGTTTCCTGCAGGGTGTGGAGGCCCTGTTAGAGATGGATCAGGACTCCTGGGTTCCTGTCAGCTTTGAAGTGGGCCGTTGCCACATCGCCGAGAGAGCTTGGGAAATCCATGCTGTCTCCTCATAGTGCTCTTTACTTTACAGGATGGAGGCTGCAGCTGTCCTGGGGATGTGGCCAAGGCTTTTGGTAAGGAGGTTGGAAGGGCATGGAAGGAGTATCCCATAGAAGAGGGTGACCCACCTCAGAGTCTAGGGTCAGGCTAGGAGAGGCTCAGGAAGCCATGCAGACTCTTTCATGATAGAAACTAGTGGCCCTGAAGCCTGTGGTGTCATCTGGGGCAAGCCAGCAGGGGAAATCCTGAGATTCTGGTTTGGACTTTTCAAGTGTAGGCCAGGGCATCTACACTGTCCCCTGGATTGTTGGACAGTATAGATTCCTGAGCCCCACTTAGACCTACAAAATTAGTCTCTCAGGAATAGGCCTGCAAATATGCATTTTTCACAGCTTCCTGGGTGGTCCTTACTCATGTTAAATTTGGAGATCCTGCTCAGGACATATTAAGTGAGTCTTGTTCACCAGGGCACAGTAAAAAGAAATGACCAAAAGATGGCAAAAGCAGCAAAAAGAGAAAGCAAAAACCAGGCAGGGAACCTCCAGACACTCTTTTTAAAATCTTGGGGAAATCAGGCCCACTGAGGAGTAGAGGCCAGGGCAGAGCAGGCCTGTGTGGATTGTGGGTCAACTGGGGAAACAGAACCAGGAAGATGCTGAATCATTGTCAGGATTGGGGATTTGGTGTGAGTTACTTTGAGGGTAGCCATGTGGGCACCTTGGCCAGATTCATCTCTTTCCCCTATCCTTGATGCTGGCAGGGGCAGGGGCTGACTTCGTGATGTTGGGTGGCATGCTGGCTGGGCACAGTGAATCAGGTGGTGAGCTCATTGAGAGGGATGGCAAGAAGTACAAGCTCTTCTACGGAATGAGTTCTGAAATGGCCATGAAGAAGTATGCTGGGGGCGTGGCTGAGTACAGGTATGTGTGGGACCCAGGAGCTGAGGGTTCTTCGAAGAGTGTGACTAGTGTGGTGGCAGAACTCATGGCTGCTGGGAGACAAACGGTATAGTTCGAGAGAAAAATGGTCGATGGGGACTAAATATTAGAGACTGGAAAAGAATCACTGGGCTCTTTCAGACAGAAATCTAGAAGGAGAAGTTAATAAAGTTTTTCCTCTTCCAAGGGCTTCAGAGGGTAAGATGGTGGAAGTCCTCTTTAAAGGGGATGTGGAACATACCATCCGGGACATCCTAGGTGGGATCCGCTCTACATGTACCTATGTGGGAGCAGCGAAGCTGAAGGAGTTGAGCCGGAGAACTACCTTCATCCGAGTCACCCAGCAGGTGAATCCAATCTTCAGTGATGAGCACTAGACCTGAGCAGATCTGTGCTCCCAAGACAACATACCCATCCCACATACTGTGGCTGTGTATTACTTTGTCATTTCCTATTGTCTTACTCCTGAGAGCTCCTGCAATCACTCTATATTTCTCTATGGGCACACTGGAAATGCTCAAGGCACTTACTAGGGAGGAAGCAAGGAAGAAAACAGTCTGAGAAAATGATGTGAGAGAATCAAATGGTAATCTAAGGACCCAGCATCCTGAAGATTATGAAAAGGAAAAGACACTGATTGATACATAATGTTTTATATGGCCTTGATCTGGATGAGGCAGGCTTTTATAACCATGTCTTGTTAGCTTCATTAAATGGGACCCTTCAAATATCTAAAAAGCTAAAAAGAAGTGTTTACATATTTGAAATACCTCAATAAAGAGAGATCCCACTGACTAAAAAGATGCTGGGGATTTCTGCACGAGGCTGGCATCTGGGTGGTTCTCCATGGTGGGTGGAGGTAGGAGTCTCACTGACCCAGTGGGGTCAAGGACAATGAGTATTATTCCCATGAAGTATCTCCATTCTAATGCCACCACTCTCAGATAAGCTGGCAGCATGAGAATTTACAAAGTATATTCTGGTACTAGAACACTTTTTTTTTTTTTTTCAGAATAGCAAAAAGACATTTCTTTTCCAGGCTTTCAACCTTAGGCACATCTTAACAACACTATCCAAGGAAAGTAAAAAGCAAAGTGATTCTTCCAGCTCTGGAGAGGTCAGTTCTGTTTCTAAGGAATGACCCATTATGGAAGCCTTAATTCCCCTCCCTTACATTAAGACACTTTTAGCAAATCCAAAGTTTAATTAATTATCAAGCATCATGAAGTATTTAGCATTGTAGTCAACCCAAGCCTGGGCTTCCACTTCATTTCCACTAAATTGCTTGCAGAGCTGAGGAGGCAGGAGATGGGCAGAGGGCATTCCTTTCCTATTATAGGGGTTTAGAGCTGTCTATATGGTCATGGGAAGGGACAGGCATGGCACTGGGGCCAGAAGGGGGGAAGTATTCACAGAAGGTGGGGATCAGGGTGTCAAACTTTGTCTTCTGATAGTTTTCCAGAGACTCCTGTAGAGAAGGGAGCAGGGAGATCCTATCATCTGAAACCATTCCTTGAGCCCTCTGTATTCTGGAGCATGCGGAGTCCTCATTCTTGTTCTGCCCATCCCCTTCCCCAGCTTTTTGCTCCTTCCTACTCACCTTTCCTTCCTTCTGGCTATTATCTTCCTCATCAGAGTCCAAAACCAAGTCCCCTATGGTAATGACAGAGCTGCACAGGGATGGAGGACACGCTGCAGGAAGGAAACCAGAATCAAACTACTACTAGGTGAACACAAGCCCTTAAGTGTCCCTCAGAGGAGGCTGGCTGATCCAGTCCTCACCCAGACTACCTACCTTTCTTTCTGGTCCTAGGAGGCGATAATGATAGTTTCAGGGGGTCCATGTAGCAATCCAAACAATTCCTGAGATGGGAGCAAGCAAAGATGATAGGGTAAAAGGAAAGCAGGCAAAGAATGTGCCCTAAGAGGAAGAAGCACTTCTCTTCCACTTACTCCTTTCGTTTTGAGGCAGACAAGTCAACTGGGTTCTCTCTCAGAACTCTTGCCCCCAGGGTCTGGGATGGACTCGTAGACTTTCCAGAAAAGGCTGCTCTTGTACCCACAAAACCTGCTGGATCTGCTGCATGTATTCCATGTTCTTCCCTGTTCTCAGGGTTAGATATGACCTGGGTTGGTGAGCCCAGACTCCTAAAGGGGAACAGCATGACCGTGGGGCGCTCCTTATGTCCTCTCCTAGTGGACACCCATCGGGACTGGACTCTTCGTCGGCCTAGTGGGGCCAGATTGAAGTGGTGTCCAGTTAGAGGTTCTGGGTGCTTTCTTGAAGCTGGTCCCTGAGGAAAGTCTGGGTCAGGCTTGGCTTTTGGTAGAGGATTGTGGAGTATTAGTCTTGGTTGCTGAGAAGGAGTCTGTTCCCTGGGCTCTGTCAGATTCAGTGAATCAGTAACAGAGCACTCTGAAAGAGAAAATGCAGCTCTTTATAAATAGTAACATTAATTTAGTCTATTTTCTTGTGCCTCAGGCCCATATAACTATTCCAAAGGGTCGTCTCGAAAGGTCTCATGCAAAACACTACACCCCCAAATTCCTAGTTCTCCAAGATGGTCTTGGTACCTGGAAGTGGCCATCCCATGTCCACACCATATTGGCTCAAGGCAGGAGAAGAGGTGATAGAAACTCCAGGCTGCATCCAACTCAGCACATCCTGAAGCTGGGGCCAGGAGAGAGGTATGAAGACCACAATTCTTGATACAACCACCCACTCTCTCCCCTTACATGCCCCAACAAAACCTGCTGTGCCTGCAGTGTAGGCAGTGCTTTTTCCAACTGACACAAGTATTCAAAAAACAGCTTTTCCATGGCAGCCAGAAAGGGTTCCCCATATTCTTGTTCAAGTTCCTGCAGGGGAGAAAGAAGCAGATCAGAAGAGGATTAGAGGAAATAGCCACATGACAGCCTCCAAACCAGCCAGCCTCACCTGCAGCTTCGAGGCCAAATCCACAGGGGTCTCCGACAGCTGCTTCACCTGCTGGCAAAATGTTTCCTGTGCCTCCAAAATCTTCCTCAGATCCTGCTTTGTCTGTTGAGGATGTGGAAGACAAGTTAGGGGTACCAGGACCCAGTGGCCAGGCGGAGGGGCAACTTTGTTGCACCAGGTGTAACTGGGGTTAGGGCTTGTTCCGAGTATTACTCACAGCTTTGGGGTCCCGCACTACAGGTGCAGATTCCGGGAAATGGTGATTCAAGGCATTCAGGACGTGGGCCCAAGGCCGACCCTGCAGGATCAGCTCTACCACCACCTGCACGGTATTGAACTCAGAAATCCCATTTCGGGGCAAGCTGCCCTTTTCCAACCGGTCTCACCCCCAAGCTGTCGACCCTTGTTAGATCCTCGCATCCCTCCCCTTTCCCTGTTTTCCTTCCAGGTCCTACTCGCTCCAATACCTTGGCCTGTAGGCCCATACAGAGGCGTTCATGGTGCCGGTAGCGAACCAAGCCAGGGGCCGCTGCGCGCAGGGATCGCAGAAACTCTAGTACTCGTGGGAAATGCTCCACGTAGCGTCCGCACACGACTCGCCAGCTGGCTGCGGCTGCGATGCGCAGAGAAGCGGGACCGGCCCCCGGGGGCGCGGCCATGGCTACCGGGCTCCGCCCCGGGGCGGCCCCTTCGGGTTTCTCCCACCCAGGCAAGACTTCACGACCCCGCCTAGGGGCGGAGCTTCCCTCCGCGGCTCGGATCTTTCGATCTGTGCCGGCTACTTGGAGATCCGCCTCAGCTCACTTCCATAGGCCAGCAGAATTTGGGGGGTCTTCTCCTAGCTAGGGCTGGTGCCTGAATGGAGAAGCTGGCCGTCACCAATGGCACCAACCAGGTCCCTTAGCTGGAAAGGCCGCGGCAGTCTGGAACCCGAGGGTACCTCACTTCCCACTCTGCAACTTCTTCCCCTTGCCCCGGAAAAGGGCGGTAAGAGAGAACCAATAGGCGGCCAGACAGAGGGACGAGTGGCGTTTGCGTCACAAGGCCACGCCCCAGCAGATCCGGTGCCGCCCTGGCCACCTGAGTCGGTTGGCTGCTGAGGCCGCGGAGGCTACTCCTTTGGGCCCTTCCGGCCGCTCGGCAGCTGCCTTTCTTCGCCGATCCTGCAGGGGAGTCACGTCACTCCTCTGATACTCGACCTCCTAGTCTGTAAAGCGGGGATCATGCCACCTCCCCCTGCCGTCGTCTTCACCCTGTGAAGTAAAATTCCTTAAATCCCACACCCCGATCCAGCGCCTGCAAAGCCTTTCCCAGGGGGTGCGCCGCTTCCGGCAGGAATTCGACTGTTCGTTTTACAAAACAGAAGAGGGCGCCCGCCTCCAAAAACTAAAATAAGAGGTTGGAGAAGTACTGTTAGTCTGGTTTTCTCAGGATGGTAGGATTGTAGCTAATTTTTTGTGCTTTTCTACGTTATTTCTGTATCGTGTAGTTTGGGGGTTTTTTGTTTGTTTTTGGCGGCTGGCAGGTATGGGGAACCAAACCCTTGACTTTGGTGTGTTTCGTGTAGTTTTAAAATAAATTTAAAGTGTCTTTTTTCAAATTTCTGTTGTGCACTTCACTCCAGTCAGCCCCTTAATGTAAGTAGCCATTGTTTCTTGTCTCTGTCATCCTTCGTGGTGCCTCTTCTCACTCCCATCGCCAAACAGAACCTGGCACTCAGTGTACACTCTTTAATTAGTGATTGAATTAGTTAACCTGCCTGACTACCTCACAGGGATTAAGTGAAATTGCCTGTTATTTGGACCTTCTCTTCAATTCCCAGAGATAATAGCTCACACATCCTTGTCTCCACCCGAGATCAGTCATCTGCCCATGGGACACCTAGTTGTAGGATCCAAAGTATCCCAAATTAGACATGTGTGAAATTCTAGTTATCTTTCTTTTTTGCTTTATATATCCTCTCTTACGTTCTTTTCTTTACGTAGATCTGCGTTTCTGACCTATGTCATTTTCCTTCTTTCTAAAGAATTTCTGTTAACATGTCTTGCATGTCAGGTCCTCTGGTGACAAATTCCCTCAATTTTTGGTGTTTGAGGAAGTCTTTATTTCTCCTTTCCTTTTGAAGGATAATTTTGTTGGGTACAGAACTCTAGGTTGGTAAGTTTTTTTTTTCTTCAACACTTTAAATATTTCACTACACTCTCTTCTTGCTTGTGTGGTTTCTAAAAAGAAGTCATGTGTAATTTTTATCCTTACTCCTCTATAGATAAGGTTCCCCACCCCACCCTAACCATCAGCTTCTTTCAAGATTTTCTCCAGTTTGAATATGAATATGTAGATTTGTGGTGGGTGCAGGGAGTGGGGGAGTGTGTGGGGGGGATTTATCTGCTTAGTGTTCTCTGAGTTTCCTAGATCTGTGTTTGGTGTTTAGCATTAATTTTGAGAAATTCTCAGTCATTATTGTTTCAAACGTTCTTCTGTTTCTTCTTTTTTTCTCTGCTATTCTCATAATGTCTGTGCTACAACTTTTATAATTGTCCCACAGTTCTTGGATATTCTGTTCTGGGATTTTTGTTGGTTTGTAGTTTCTTAATTCTTTTTTTTCTCTCTGTTTCAGTTTTGGAAATTTCTATTTACATTTCTTCAAGCTCATCAATTCTTTCCTCCACTGGGTCTAGTCTATTGATGAGCCCATCAAAGGCATTCTTCATTTTGGTTACAGTGTTTTTTATTTCTAATATTTCCTTTTGGTTCTTTCTTAGAATTTCCATCTCTTTGCTTATGTTACCCACCTGTTCTTGCATGTTGTCCACTTTTTCCATTAGAGCCCTCAGCATATTGACCATAGTTGTTCTAAATTCCTGATCTGATAATTCCAATATCTCCGCCATATCCAAGTCTGGTTCTGGTACTTGCTCTGTCTCTTCAAATTGTGGAGGGTATTAGAGCCCTCAGCATATTGACCATAGTTGTTCTAAATTCCTGATCTGATAATTCCAATATCAACGCCATATCCAAGTCTGGTTCTGGTACTTGCTCTGTCTCTTCAAATTGTGGAGGGTATTTTTGGTGTTTTAGTGTGCCATGTGATTTTTTTTGTTGAAAATCAGATATACAGATAAAAGGAACTGAGGTAAATAAGACTTTGGTGTGACGTTTTATATTTATCTGGCTTAGGCTGTGTTTATTGTTTGCTGTAGTGGTGTCAGAGCTAAAATGCCCTCTGGTGTCCTTATTATTGTCTTCCCAGTTGTCTTTGGTGTTCCCTGGAGACTTCTTAAATAGGGTCTTAAATGTGCAGTTCTTTCAGTTGTATTCCCCTGTTATTATAAATAGCCTATTGGTAGAAAGGTGTGGGGGAGGGGAAAGCATTCTATAGTCCTACAATTAGGTCTCAGTCTTTTATTTATTTATTTATTTGTGTGACCGGTAACGGGATCGTTACCCTTGGCTTGGTGTTGTCCACACCACGCTCAGCCAGTGAGCGCACCGGCCATCCCTATGTAGGATCCGAACCCGCGGCCTCGGCGCTCCCAGCGCCGCACTCTCCCGAATGAGCCACGGGCTTGGTGTTGTCCACACCACGCTCAGCCAGTGAGCGCACCGGCCATCCCTATGTAGGATCTGAACCCGCGGCCTCGGCGCTCCCAGCGCCGCACTCTCCCGAATGAGCCACGGGGTCGGCCCAGGTATCAGTCTTTTAGTGAGCCTGTGCAGAGCTGTGACTTTCACAAGTGCTTCTCAGTCCCCTCCTCCATACACATACACACCTAGGTAAAATAGCAAGACTAGAGCAGGCTGGAGTTGTGTATTTCCCTTCACCCTAAAACACTAGAGGAGGCTGGAGCTGGGTATTTCCCTTTTCCCAGGTCAGTTAGGCTCTCTTACTGACCTAAGTTAGTGCGAGTTTGTTTCTCTTGAGAGCAGGCCTTGTTAAGAACAGAATGCTCTGGATGTACACATTTCAAAATGGCTACTTTTGCCCTCCCCTCTGCCAGAGGCACAAGGGGGTTTTCTCCAGTCTTCACTGTGAGAAACTGGTAAAGCTCCTGGAGGTAAAACTCATAAGTGTGGGGGCTCCCCTAATAATGGGATCCCCCAAGAGTTTTTAAACTCATATTTGTCCACACTGAGCCTCTGGCTATTTGTCAATTACAACTTAAGGTTTCCTACCCTGGTACTGGTTCTCACAGAAGTTTCTGTTCCTGGGCTTCTGCCAATAAGTTGTGATTCTCTGCATCTGCCTGTTTGTCTCTCCAGTTTGGGGCAGCAGTTTGCCCTCAATTCTCTGACAGATCTAAGAAGAGATGTTGATTTTCAGTTTGTTTCTCTTTTTTCTTGTTGTGAGGACTTCCAAGCTTCTTAAATGCTGTACTAAAAACTGGAAACCATAATCTTCCCTTTTATAATCTGCTCTTCCTCCTGGTCTGCATATTTCTGTACATGGCACTTCTCTGCATGACACCTGTCAGTGAGAAACCCAGGCCACCACCTTTAATTCTGTCCTCCCTCCTCTCCAAATCTAATCTATCACCAAGTCTAATCAGTTTTATTTCCCGTATAACTTCAAAACCACCCCTTTTCCTCATTCGTACTGCCTCTACCTTATTTCAGGTTCTTCTGTCTCTCACCCTGATAAGATTTGAGTCTCCCCACCTCCAGCCCAACCCCTCTAATTTCTTTCCATGTTGCTTTCATCATGAATGAAATGCAAAGCTGATCATATCATTCCTAACTGAAAGCGTCCCTTTACTTTCGGAAGAAAGTCTAAACTCCTAAATATGTCAAAAGGATCCTTACCAAGCTGGCTCAAGCTTACTTGTTCACACACATCCCTTGCTGCGGTGTGCTTGTCATGCGCCTCAATGCCGCATGAATGCTTATGCCACTCCTTGTCAGACTGCTTGTATTTTCCAGTATTCTGTGTTTGCTCACACTCTGTGCTTCGCGTGTACTGGGTGATTCCTCTGTCCTTCTCTGCCTCTTTGATTTGAATTTTTCTTGTCTTTCATGGCTCATCTGATAATCATGTCCATGAAGCCCTTCTGGATCAGCCCAGGCAGAGTCACAATTCTCTTCTCTGGGTCCCTCAGCATCCTGTACGTCCCTCTACTGTTATGCAGAACCTATCTTATAAGAGGGCTGGCCCATGGCTCACTCAGGAGAGTGCAGTGCTAATAACACCAAGGCCATGGGTTCGGATCCTATATAGGGATGGCCGGTTCATTGGCTGAGCATGGTGCTGACAACACAAAGCCAAGAGTTAAGATCCCCTTACTGGTCATCTTTATTAAAAAGAACCTATCTCATAAGGTTGTTGTAAAGATGAAATGAATTTTCAGTCAGTAGTTAGAATGCAGTATTTTAACACCCAGTTCAAGGGTTTGAATCCCCATACCGGCCAGCTGCCAGAAAAAAAAAAAAAAGATTAATTAATAAATATGAAGTGCTTGGAATAGAGCCTGGATCCCAGTAAGTGCTACCTATGCATTTACTGTATTTAGAATGTTTACATTCACCCCCACTGGGTGGGAGCCCTTCGAGGGAAGGGCTTGCTTCTTGTGTATGTTATATTACTGCTGCCACATGCAGCACCTCATTAGTGTGTTTACAACTAGTAGGTACAGCTCCATGTTAGCCTTCTTTTTCTTGTCCCAGGAGCCCTTTGTCTTACAAGCCTTCTTAAAGGCTGAAGAAGACACGTGGTTGGAACTCAGAATATCAGGCACATAGTCTCATACATATTGTTGGCCCAAGAAGGGTGTAGGCAGAGGGAACAGAAAACAGTACAGGTGAGATGAAAGATGGGAGGTGGTCTCAATCCTTAGTGAGCATAGGAGTCATACCGTTAGTGAGCTTGTTCTAGGCCTCTGTTACAGGATTCTGATGCATGAAGTTTATGCTGGGGCCCAGATATTTGAATTATTAATAAATATTTCTGATGATTGTAATGAAAGTGGTCTAGAAACTCCACTTGAAGAGCCCTGATGTAAGAAAATGCCATGATCCTCCAAAAGTCAGTAAAAGGAAAAATTCCAGATAGAAGAGAACTTAAAGAGTACCAGCTGTCTCTCTGAGCCTCACTTTCTCTTGTAGTTTCCTCTCTTTGGTGAGGGACATCAGTCCCTATGTCAGTGGATGACACAACCAATCAATCCCAAGTAATTATCTTTACTGCTTCTCCCCACCCTCCACCCAGCCACATCCCATCCTTCCCCAAGCCCCATCAGTTCGACTCGGTATATATTTGTCCAAGTTGTCCACTTCATCTTCACACCAACACTCTAGCCGGAATACCACCTCTAGCATAAACTTACACAATTGTCTCCCACTCTGTGTCTCTGCATCCACTCCAGCCATGCTCCAATCTGTTCTTGACACTCCAGGCAGAGTAATCTATTCAAAACACACAATCTGGTCATGTCATCGCCAATGCTTAAGCCTTTCAAAGGCTTCCAATTGCTCTAGGGCAGACCGGGATCCTTAATGTGGCCAGTGAGACCCCAGGAGGCTTGGCTCTGTATCACTCAGCTTCATTCCTTCACTGTGCCCTGTGCTCTCTTT